AATATGCTATTGTTCCAGATAACAGCTTTAAGCAAAATCCAATTAAGGGTGAATATATATAAACATTGCACTTGTATCTACTCACACTAAATATTTTCAACTGAAAGTTGTTTTAACACTAAGTATTACCAAATATTAATCATTGCTTTCTATAATTAAACTACAAGGACATTGTTATGGACCTATTCCAAAACTGTACAATACCTTTAACAAGAAAGAAAATCTAAAAATAAATAAATAAATAAATAAGCCTTTCCATTAGTAACTGTCACTCAAATGTTCATCAGGATTTTCATGAACTCCTTTGGGATTTCAATGTATTTTAATGAAAACACTTGTAAGTGAATTTTATTATTAGGTCAGGAAATCTATTAACAAAAATATGTGCATCACTTATCAACAATGATATATGTGAAAATATTGAAAATGCCTCTGGTAAACCCAAGTATAAATTAGTCCAGCTCTATCCAGACTAGTTTTATTTTCATTAAGCTCTGTATATTTAATTTGTGATTTGTTTTCTTCCAGTTATTTTCCAATAGTGCTAGGACTTGAACCCTGGGATGTTTGCACTCTAAGTTACATTCCCCAAACACCTTTAAAATATTCTTGATTATTACAGTTCATTCATAAATGCATACACCATCCCCACTTATTTAATATTTGTCAAATATGTGTGATGTTAATATTTACTCTTCTAGACAATGCTCCATGTAGGAATGCTCCATGATGTGGTGGTTGTAACACACTGGATCTTCCAATTAGGTGCACTAACCTCTAAGTTCAACATTAAGTGAGGAACTGAAAAAAATAAAGCTTTTTCCTGAAATCCTTTTAAATACTTTTTGACTCACTAAGTATTAGTATGCAGTTGCTTCCCAACACTGTTCATAATGCTTTGATACAAATGGCTTGTTGGTTGGTTGGTTGCTTGCTTGCTTGGTTTGTTGGTAGGCTAGCTGGGATTTTCCTTGCTGTAGAAGGGTCTGCTGTAGCCCATGCTGATCTTCAACTCACTATGTAGCAGAAACTGGTCTTGAATTCCTGATCCTCCTGTCTCAACCTCTCAATAGCTGGAATTGAAGGTGTGCACCACCATACCAGCTAATCTAAACAGTTTTGAGAAAGCCTGCCACAAAGCAGGGCACTCCAAAGGGAGTCCATTGAATGGTTGATTAAGCAATTCACCACTGTAAGTGTGATCTACTAGGAGAAGTGGGATTTCAAAGAGCTTCCAAAGTCAGTTAAGGAGAATAAGCCAGTGAATTTGATAATATCCTAAAAAGCCTTAAGGTCAAATCCTAATATTGATCATTATCTACTATGCCTTGAGTTATTTCCTTGCATGTGCTAATTTACAGATCCTATTGCATTTAGTTTTTATAACCAATATATGGAATTCATTATTGTCTCCTTTTTACAGAGAAGAGACCAAGATGTGAAGAAATTTAACAACTCATCCTAATCGGCTAATGGCAGAGCCAAGGTCATAACGTAGACAGGTAGTCTTCCGACCTTTGACCTCTGCCCTGTCCTGACCCAGTGACTGAGGCCTATGTGTGCTCCCAGAAGAGTCAGATATGATCACTATTCTCAGGGCCAAATAGCCCAGAAACACAGAATGCTTACTTAAATAAGTGAAATTCAAGGTAAAAGAGAGTGTCTGTCTGAGAAACTCCCAGATGGAGTTGCAAGAAAGTTCAGATGAAGACAGATGGGGATAAGGAGAGACTTAATCACTGGAATAGGTTACAGGATGGGGCACAAAGGCAGTGAATGGGTGTCCTTAGTAACTATTGCATTCCATTCTATTTGTCAGATATGATTTATGACACCTAACGTTCAGCATCTTCTTTGGTGTTCAAAACAATCATACAATTTCTACCCTTGCATTGCACATGACCAAGTCAACCTGTGCCTTGGGAAAACAAAACAAGCCCAGAGTCCCTAAACGGTGGTCCTTTGTGTTTGTTTTATTTTGTTTTTTCCTGTCTACCTTGAGTAAGTTTCCTTTTCATGTTTAGGATGTATAGGCCCCTTCAGCCAAAAAGTCAGAACATTTCTCTAATTCACACAACTAAGTCATAGAGACTAGATGCAGAGACTTAAGAAAAGCACAGGAACCCTCCAAAGAACCTCAACTCTCTTGCCCTCAAGGGCAGAGGGCAGAATCTTGTATTGTCTCATACTATAGTTAGTATTGCTGACAGAAGAGGCTTGTGCTTCTCTCTCTCTCTCTCTCTCTCTCTCTCTCTCTCTCTCTCTCTCCTTAACTTCACTCTATACACAGTTTTTTTTCAGCACTACCACGTGACAGACACTGTATCAGGGAATGAAGAGAACAGCAGACAGAAATGTATTTGCAACTGGTTAGCTTCATACAGGCATAGGCTGTATTCCACAGAGGTTAAGTCTGACTGCCCTGCTTGATCAGTGAGTAGCTGCTATACCTTGAATATAAAACATTTGTAGAGTCTTGATCCTCTTTTAAATAGTGGTATGCTGAGAGTGCTGAGGCCTTTAAGAGACATTCAGGGTATTGGGGTTAATGCTTCTAAAAGATTAATGCTTATCTCAT